TATATTAGATGGGATACTACTTAGCCAAAACAAAAGATGAATTAAAGGCATTTGCAGTGTTCCGAATGATATTGGATACTCTTTTTTTTTTTGGGATACTCTTATTCTAAATGCAGTAACCCAGGAATGGAAAACCAAACATCCTATGTTCTCACTGATATGTGGGAGCTAAGGTATGAGGAAGCAAAGGCATAAGAATGATACAATGGACTTTGGGAACTTGGAGGGAAGGGTCGGGGGGTGGTAAGGGATAAAAGACTACAAGTATGGTGCAGTGTCTACTGCTCAGGTGATCGGTGCACCAAAATCTCACAAATCACCACTAAAAAACTTACTCATGTAACCAAATGCCACCTATATCTCAATAACCTATGGAAAAATGTTTTAAAAATTAAGAAAAAAATGTGAGGTCAGGTGCAGTAGCTTATGCTTGTAATCCCAGCACTTTGGAGGCTGAGGCAGGCAGATCACCTGATGCCAGGAGTTTGAGACCAGTCTGGCCAAAATGGAAAAAAACCCTGTCTAAAATTACAAAAATTAATCAGGTGAGGTGGTGCACCCCTGTAATCCCAAAGACAACTCAAGAGGCTGACACAAAATAATCTCTTGAGCCTGAGGGACAGAGGTTGCAATGAGCCAGGATTGCACCCTGCACTCCAGCCTGAGTGACAGAGTGAGACTCTGTCTCAATTGAAAAAAAAAAAAAGAAATAAATAAAGAAAAAGACAATGTGGTACTTATATACCATGGAATACTATGCTGCCATAAAAAAGAATGAGATCATGTTCTTTGCAGGGACATGGATGGAGATGGAGGCCATTATCCTTAGCAAACTAATAAAGGAACAAAAAACCAAATATCACATATTCTCACTTATAAGTGGGAGCTAAATGATGAGAATACAAGGACACAAAGAGGGGAACAACAGACACAGGGTCCTACTTGAGGGTGGTGGGCTGGAGAAGGGAGAAGATCTGGAAATTATTAATGTGCACTAAGTTTAATATCTGAGTGATGAAATCATCTGTATGACAAAGCCCCATGACACAAGTTTACTATATAACAAACCTGCACGTGTACTCCTGAACTTAAAAAAAAAAAAAGGAGATAGTCAGAGAAAGACTGAAGAAAATTTGGCAATAAGCGACAACCAGAGATAAGTGCATTGAATTCTGAGAGGCTCTGCATTCCAGAGCGGAGAAAAAGCTTATTCGGATTAAAAATTCCAGCTATTCTAGGCTACATTAACCAGCTGCCAGGTCTGAGACCTAGGAACTTTCTAGGCTGATCTCACAGAGGGAGAAGTATCTGGGTATCTGGGTAGGCTGAAGGTAAAACAGGAAATGGCTAAAAAGTAAAACCAGGCTACGTGCAGAGGCAAGTGAGAAAGGGCCAGAATGTTGTCCAGAGTGCTTGTACATTAGCTGTCTGCTGCACTTTAAATCGCTGACCGTTATGTGGCCATGGGAGAAGGGGAAATTGAAAAACAGAAAAGGATTTTGTATGGTAAGTCTGAGGAAAAGCAAAATCCAGAAGTTGCACACCAGCAATCTTGGCTCAGAGATATTAAAGATATGTTCCGGTTGGTCTGAGCACACTTGTGCACACACACAAAATGTAAAAACCAATATCTGATTTGAGTAAAAAGCAGAAGATATGACAACATAGGGCCTGCATTGCTAAGGGCCATCAGTCTGCTGGATGAGAGGATTCACTGCCAGTTTTGGGTGTGGCAGCCTTCGGTAATAAACTGCAGCCACGGTTCAGATAACCCTCCTCACTCAAATTACCTGTTGTCCTCTGTCGGTATCTGACTTTGGTAACCTTGTTTGTACCTTTTGAAGGACAAAAGAGACAACCATAAGTCAAAGAAATAAGTCTCCCAAGGTGGATCATGTAAAGGAGTAGGGAGCAGCCTTTCATCCTAAAAATGGGAGAAAACAGACTCTATCCAACAGGCTCTGTCCAATTCTCCCAGCTTGTTTGATAGTTTTAATTTTATGTGCCTATATTTAATCATTTCCAGCCCAATGAGAGCCATATAAAAGAATCTGTGATTACATAACAGTTTCATTTTGAGAAGTTCAATGACCCTTTAAATGTTTCATTTTTCTTGTTATGTTTATTGACCTCACTAGCATCTGACCTGAGCAGCTGCTCTTTGGGGAACTGTCATGAATGACCGCAAGCTGGTGACAGACAGGGGAAAAATAAGAGCAACAATTCACGGCAGCTGGGTCTACTTGGAAGTAGGAAACACTGCCAGTCCAGGCTAGCAGGGGGCCACAAAGAACAAGGGCCTTCTGGAATTAAGACAGGACAGATCAGGGATTTAAAAAGTGCTGCAGTACTGAATACAAATGTAAATTGAAGCAGATTTCCTTTGCATATTACGGGAAGCAACATGAAGTAATGTTTGAGTCATTTAGGATACACACACACACAGCATCTACTGTCCCTGGAACCAGAGATGACCTAGATACTAATTAGGAGAGAAGCAGGCACAAATTATCAGCACTTGATGATACCCGCATGTTGATGTTGTGTATCGATACAGAACTCACGCTTTTGGGGAGATCCAGACACCCAATGAAGAGGTATTGATTGACAATTTGCATTTCAGCCAAGGCTTAACCTTGCTGAGAGAATCTTAATTTTTTCTACTGAGGCCAAAATCCACTTTAACTGGCCCTGCAGAATAATACCATAAAACAAAGGACAAGCAGACTAACTTCCATAAACTATTTAATTCTCTATGTTTCCACATTAGGTACTTGTAGAAATTATGAAAGTTTTGTCATTTACTATACTGGTGCAAAAAAGTGTATGAAGCATCTTATTAATAATCTAGAGAAGTATCCGTTCATGTAGCATTTCTGCCTTTCCCCAAACAGAATGCAGAGTTACTAGAGCATATGGTCAGGGTGGTCAGGTCAGAAACATGTTTTTATGGTTATTATCAGTTAGAGAGATTAATATTAGCCATCAGAAGGCTTGTAATTTGGATCCAGCTCTGCCATTTAATAGCCAAGTGATCCTGAGCAAGTCACTTCAGCTTTCTGAACCTCAGTTTAATCACCTATAAAATGAAAAAAATTGAGCCACATAACTATCAGGATTGATGGAGGATCCAATTAAATAAAGCATGAAAGCACATTTTTATAGGCTGTAAGATGCTTCACACCTAGAAGAGTTCCATACAATGCTTTGCACTTACACTAGATGCTTTACAGAAAAGCATGCAACAGGTATAGAAAAACCCAATGATGGAATCCATTTCCCCAGGGAAAGTCATAGTCATAACATGAATACCACTCAAAGCCTGGGTGATATGTTCAAAATAGATGAAAGAAGAGTGGAACTTGGTATCATTCCTCTTGAGATAGCTGGACTTAGCTGGCATTGCGTTTCCATAACATCAGCTACCCAGAGCAAAAGAGGTCTCTCTCCATTCTCCATTTTTTGCCACATTAAACCTAGGACTACATATTTACTGACTATCATGCAAAGTGTTTCAAAATAAATAATAAACAGTATTGAGAATAATAATATGTAATAATAATTAAAAATAATAATTATTATTAGTTCTAATCTTCTGAATTAGATCTCTCATGATTTAAATATTCTACCACTTCCAGTTTGTGTGTGGAACCAACAGCCATCACACATGCAGTCTGGAACATTTCAAAAGGCCTAAAAACTACTGTGACTCTTGGAACTAAATGATAAAAGGCAGTGTTCAGCTAGACTACACCATAGTAAGAATCATTAGTTGAAAAAACAAGAAGGATTTAAAAAGATGTTTCTTATTCAGATGCTGACTTTCAAGGTATGATATGCTTTTAACCACGATATTTTAACTGCTTTGTTTAAAATACATGTGACAATTTAAAATGATACCTATTCTCAAGTTTCTGTTTCATCCAGCAACTTAACTTTAAAATATTCTATTAACTAATATTTGATATATACAAAGGAATACATGTGAAACATATGCTATGAAGCACAAGAACCCAGTAATTTAAGAACTAGAACCTTATTTAGTGATAGAAGTACAGAGAACAAAATTAATTCAGAACCTTGCAATGCCTGAAGGACATTATTGAAAACATCAGGATGCAGAGCAAATTGTCAAGCAGGTGAAAATTGTTTCTTCACACTCACTTTTCCTTTCTTTACCCTTTGCAGGGTTGTGTGAATTTTGAAACAAAAACAAAGGAAGAAAAGTTTAAATCAAAGGAATGTCTCTTTATTGGTGGCATTCAGACACTAGTAATGAACCAGTTGGTGATGTATCTTTGAAAAGATATTGCATGAAAAGATAAAGCCATATTGCACATAGGCAACTTCTATATTCATATATTAGAAAAGCAAATAAACAAAAACTGTGTAGATAACACAAATGTAAAATTCAGATATCTTCCAATTTCAACATGACAGACTGAGAGCCAAGCTAAAAATAGACAACATAGTCAAGCAGCATCTTTTAAAAATTTGTTGTGATGTGTAAATTACTCTCTATAAGACATAAATCAACAAAGAGTTACACACTTTAGTAAGTTGTAGAGAGATCATACTAAGGCACAACCCTAATTCTGATTCTATTTATTGTCAGCCTCTACTTTTAATCTTGGGTAGCAAACATACTTAGGTATTTTCTTAAAGTAAAATCTTCTAAATCATCTCAATAATCTGAGTGGCTTGACTACTCCACTGTATCACTAGTCTGGCTTTCATGGAAAGAAGACACCACTGAATTCCCTTCTGGCCTCCTCAGTACACAGATCCTAGTGCAGTAGAGGGTCAAGTGCACCAGAGGCAAAATTCAAGTTGCATGACCTTGAGAAAAATTTTCATTTTTCTGACTTTTCAACTTCCTCATCAGAAACATGAAGAAACTAGACTAGGTAAATTCTAAAGTCTATTCCAATCCTAAAATACTTTAACTGCTTTTGATTCAAATATTCAATCTGTATTTGCTAAAAGAAATGCATGATTCTTTTGGGCAATTCCTGAAATCTTAGAGAAAAGGAAGCCTCCCACCTCTGCCTTCCAGTTCCTAATTTAATTTCCTCTCTTTCCTGAATTCCAAGGTGTTTGTAGATTCTCTTTGAGATTAGAAACTAATACTCCTCTAACCTGATTCAGTACCTAAAATGAAAATGAAATCTAGGCCAAAAAAATTAACATCATCATGATTAATTTTTCCCCAGAAGAGAATCACAGTTTACCTTTGCTCTACTTGGAAAACATCCAATAAGACAACGTTTCTTCTGAAGTTTATCTGTGTGGTGAGAATACTTTAAGTCCTGTATTTAAAAATAACTAATTAACTGTACTCTCAAGACCCTTTCATTGTAAGTATTTTTATTCTACTAGGGAAAAAGTGTTTGAGTCTATTCTTACAAGCATCAAAACTTTTTCACAATGAATACCTTTCAACATATTTTGAATGTTAATAAAAAACAGACTTTAAACACAATTTACAGAATGGTTTACTAAAAAAGAGGTTATCATTGGCCAGATTTGGAATAATGAATGTTATTCTAATAACAGTCAAATGTGTCCTTCCTCCCTTACCCATCTTCTTCTCCACCTCAACCACAAAGCTCAGACATATTGTAGGGAAAGGAATTATGTCAGGGAGCATCTGTAAGAAGCATGTGAGAAGAGAGATCCAGCAAACTATA